AATTCTTTGCTTTTTTTTTCAATAAAAAATGATATATATATCACAAAGTATTTATATGATAACAATGCAAGAATAAACAATTCTTTACAATATTTATACGATTAATTCACTCTCCAAGAAAAAAAAAAATTCACCAAGCTCCAAAGAAAATTCTTTTTTCCCACCACTTATATTATTTTCAGGATTACTTCTCAAAGTCTCACATTTTAAAATTCTAAAGAAGGTATTTATATCTAGTGCATCAAGTAAAAGAACTCCTTAATTATATTAATTAAGAAAATATACCATGGATCAAATTTTGAATTGTTCTAATTAAGAAAGCTAACTTAACACTTTAGTTGTTTGAAATAATAGTAATTATACAATAAAATTAGTTTAATTTTTGAAATCATGTAATTAAAGCAAATTTATTTTATCTCAGAGATTTGAGATTTTTTTTTTGAAAAAAATAAATCATTAAGAAAAAAATTTCTTTCCTTTTTCTTTTTCAATAAAAACTAGTAAATATCTCAAAGTATTTCTATGATTACAATCCAAGAATAAAAAGTTAAAATAATTTATTTTTAACTTTTTTGCTCTCATGTGTGTGTATTATCTCCTAATCTTTAAACTTGAATATAAAAAATAAAGATTGAATAAAAAATAAAAAAATAAAACAAAAGTAGAATTTAACTATATGCTTAATTAAATCTAGTCACCTTGATTTCCTTGAGTTAGCTTGAATTTCTTTTATTTTTTTACTAGGATGCTTTGCTAATATGAGACATAAACAATATTTAAGTTCCATATTAACATGTTCTTAACATTATAAATTATCTTTCAACATACACCTAAAATGTCAATAAAAAGATTGATCTTGATCAATCAAATTAGGATTTATGATCATAAAATAGTCACGCTCGATCATAGGGTCAACAATCTCTTTATTTTCAATGATGGCAAACTTATGAGCTTCTTTCTCGCTTAGTCGACATGCTAGCAAATAATTCGATCCCATTAACAAAAAAGTTATAGAGTTTGAAGAACTAATAAAAAGAGAAGTGAAATGCAAGTGGACTATGTCAAATCATACATTATCATGATGATTGTACATTACAATCATCATTAATAATTGATCACCCTGGGTGCTACTAACCATCACTATGATTTTAGAAATGACTAGTTTGACTTAGATCGTTTGTACAGTATGATTTGAGTCGTAATATAAAAGTTGACTTAGTGAAATACGTTCAATATTATTTAGTTTACAATATTTAAACATGGCTAATTAGCTAGCACAACTAGGATTGTACGATATGAAGCGATATATACAAGATAATTTGAATTGTATGTTATAAATTTACAGTACTCATTTTATAACTCTAATATTGAATTTTAACATTTCAAGTCTTTTAGTATTATTTTAAGTTGTACCAAAATAAAAACAAAGAAATAGTACACTACAACTTAAGAATACAAACAAAAAAAATGAAAAATAAAAATAACCATACAAAAAATAATAAAATTACAAATAACACACATTGAGAGAAAACATGAACACAGATGAAAGATGAATAAACTGTAAAAAAATGACAAAAATAAAGATAAATGGAAACAAAAAACATAACAATATCTCCAAACTTATAAGATAAATCTATGTATCAACATCAATGTTTCCTAACTTATTCTTCAAGGTGCTAAACCTATCATGACTTAGTGGTTTTATGAATAAGTTTGCCAATTAATTTTTTAAAATAATAAATTATACATTAATGTCACCTCTATAAATATGATCATGAATAAAATGATAGAGAATGCCTATATGTATTATTGTATATCATTTTAGAGTGCTATATTAAACTTTTAGTCATGCAAATAGAATTATCCACATAATGGTTATGGTATCCACTTAGAATTTAAAATTATGAAGTGGTTGCTTAAGACATAAAACCTAAGAAACATAACACTTTGGTATGATAAACTCAGCTTTAGCAGCAAATAATATAACTAAGTTTAATTTTTTGTGAGAACATGAAACTAATGATTGTCATATGAATTAACATGCATGTCCTTGAGATACTCTTCATATTCATCTTTTATCTTGTGAATTCCGTGTTAGATATCTTATAAAGATCAAACGAAGTGCTATTTTTAGAACACTAGATGCCCAAAGTAAGTTATCAAATATCTATATATTCTCTTGGCTGTAGTTAAGTTTACCTCTTTTGTATTAGATTAAGAATATGCACATAAGTCGTAATAAGTTCAAATTATAGCTTTTTTTTTTCGTCATAGCATATATATTGTTGTGCTCTAATTATAAAAATTTTCTCGAATTTTATGTGCTTTGCGCAATTCCTTAAGAAATTGATACATACCAATGCAAGTAGGTCTTCTAGGACCATTAGGTATACATTTTCCAACCCGATTTCATTAGAGCATTTTAGACATGCTTAGCTAATTTATGAATATTTTTCCATAATTTTTTTACCCTAGATTTGAAGATGTAAAAGAATTTATAAGAATTTTACACTAAAAATTAAATAATTGGTATGATTACCTTTGTTTCCTAAATATATATTATAGTTTTTTTTTTTAAATCATATTCCACTTTCCATTTCTATTTTCATTTCCATTCTCATTTTAATGATGAAGAAAAAGTAAAATTTTTGGATGAGTTTATTTTCAATCTTTTAGATGTTTTAGTAGTTTTATAGTATGTTGTTTATTTTAAGATGTATATTGAAAGAAAATTTGAACATTTTTTAAAACTAGATCTTGAGATACATCTATCACAGCTCAACCCGATAAGACTTGTCTTGTTGGGCTAGGTTGTGACAAAAGCAAATGCTAAATATAATGTCAATTTAACTCACTATAAGATATAATTGTGATCCAATCATAATGTCAAATTTATTGATAAGCTCATTTAATTATTTTGTTTGATAGAAAAAATATACCATTTTTTAATTAACTTGAAAATCATGTCAACTCTCCCATACTTATCTTAAACGATATAGGGGGCCTGCAAAGGAGTAAATTTGATGGCAAGTAAGTTTATTTTTTTAAAATATATTTAAATTAATAAAAATCTCTATATCGATGAGGCTATCATCAATTTGATAATTAGTGAGCTTACTGGTGATGACTATTACATTGTTGAAGGAGTTTGCACTAATAGGTCTGTTAGCTTCACAAAAGGTGTCTAGGTGGCATCAATCATGGGTGATTACAATGTGGTGACCGAGTTGATTTCTCTTACTCACAACCTCTTAGAATTAGCTCTTGTGGATGGCTTGACTCTCTCTCCTTTGAGGGGGGGCGGAGGATGTTTGTTACTACAATGATAATGTCGCTTGCTAAAGAAGGGATTGGCACCTTTCCATGATCTTCCATAGGGGATTTCCCTGGGCACTGTTGAGGATTTTTTGAGTACTAATTCATTGGATTTTCTCACATTGGTAATATCTTCAATGAGTTCATAGGGGTGCTTACACTCTTCAGTGTCGTGCTTATGGACTTTATGGAATTTATAGTACTTAAAGGTAACCAATTGATCGAATTATACAGATGGGCAGATGATGATTGCTCTTAATGATTTATTGAAAGTCACATGTGACTTGATTTAAAATTTATGAATAATGATGATAAGATAAAGATTGATGACCAATCGGTCGACAGTTGTGGTTAAATTAAAGATTGATGATGAGCTGGTCAACAATTGGGGTTAAAGATGTTATAAACATCTCCTTAACATTAGATGTCCTACATTTCTATTCATAATTGCATCCATGATTGCATTAATATAATAGCATGCGAATTGATTGATAAATATAATTGAAGAATGACTGATAGAACCTACATTGATACTGATGCCAAATGACATAATATACAATAAGGGCATTGATAGATATTGATAAACATCTTAATTCAATACATTGATAAGCATAATGATATAATGTAATGATATAACACCAGTGACATGGCATATTGATAGACAATTATATATGACATAATGATTGATAAAAGCATGTGATAGAACCATCAACACGAGTATAACATATAGACAATTGAGGCTTGTTTTACTATACAACACATTATTAATTGATATTTTTTACTAATTTCTTTATAGATTTATAGATTTCTTTTACTTATTACATAATCTGGCTTCACTTATCATATTAATTTTATTATTGATTGATATTGATTTCATATATGACTTATTGTTCATACTGATAACTTATCGGTTGATATTGCCTAGAACTAGAGCATGTATATTGAATTTATTTCCTTGCATTGAATGTAGTGATAAACAATTGTTATTTGCTAGGCTATATGCTTATTATGAGATTTTAGCATAATTTCAAGTAAGGGTAATGAGCCTGCAGAGTGAGGCTAGTCAGTGAGCGATAATATAGGTTTTATTCCTCGTTGTTTGATTTTATACGTTCTTTTGTAGCATGTTTTTGGCTATTGTATATATATTTGGGAACTTTTTAAATATGTAAATATTCAATGAATAATTGTTTAATTATATTTTATTCTTACAATTCTTTTAATTAAATTATAGGGCATCACAAACATGAAGGAGTCTTTTAGAGTTATGATGATCGCGAACTGAAGACTTTTTCAACTCCAAGGGATCATGATCACTAACCCCTGAGATGTGCGCTTCCTGTAGCTAGATCAGAGGTTGTCATCGAGAGCTTGATAGTTCTTTCAATGATAAATGATATTGGGAGGCTAAAATCCATGAAGACGAGGCTAAAATCCATGAAGACGAGTTCCTTGGTATACAAGCTTGGGGCGACTCCTCAACTTGGTCAATTGGAAAATTTAATTAAGCTACATTAGATTATTTATAATAGATAAATTATAATTACAATTACAAAAATAATATTATTAGAAAATAGTTTATATTTAATTATCATTAATAATTAATCTTTATAACTAATATGATTATATTCTAAATTAATTATCAATAATTAATTTTAGTTGCTTTGTCTTCCTATAGGTGCAGTCAGGATTTGCTTGTCCTCTTCTCCATCTGTTCGACTTCACAGGCTTTGCGCGGAGAGAGTTTTGAACGACTCGCTAAAAACTTCTTCGCCTCTTTCGATGCTGTCGGATCGGAAATCTCGGCAGCTCGCTGTTCTTCTGTTGGATCGGAAGTAACCACCACGACGGAGGGTTCTCCATCTTCACGAAGGTAACCATTTTCTCCCTTTCGCGCGCTTCTTCGGCCAAATTTCGTAATTCTGCCGAACTCCCGGATTTAGTAAATCCGTGGTTTATCGAAAAAAGGTGGTATTATGCCGAGTCTAAATCTTGAACGCTAAAAATCTTGCTCAAATCCTGCTTAAGTCCTGTTGCCAAACAGTCCCTGAGTGGGACGGCCGGTTGAGTCGGATCTCACAGCCTCCGGGCTTAGGGTTTAGAGATCGTAAGGAGCTGCTGGCGAAGAAGAGTATCTTGTCACTCTCTTCATTTCAAGGTACTTCTTCATTAGAGTTTCTTAATTTGTGGAGAAGCAAAGAGAGGCAGAGAGGCGACCAGCTCTTTTTACTCGTCGCTTCCCACCTTTTCTGGATGAAGTGGTCATCTGCAAAGGTATGAGTTCTCAATTTAAACAGAGATGCTTTTGATCATTTCATTTAGTGTAATGGCTCCTAGAAAAACCCCGCCTAATAACAACACATGACAAAACCGAAATAGTGGAGCAGCAAGCAAATACAAACAAATATATCCCTCCCTATAAAACTATCCAATCAATCCTTAGCTTGCATGTCCCAAAAAAAAAAAATCCTTAGCTTGCAAGTGCAAAGTGATTATAACTGGCACATGTAAAACCAGTCTTCTTTATGCTATATATACATGAACAGTGATATAAGAAACATGTTAATTTCCTTTGAGTAAAAGCTTGCCTTTCCACTTCATCTCCAGAAATGTATTCACTGTGAAAATACATTCTTATTACCTGCTGCTTTCTGTTGTGAACGTCCTCTGCCTCTGAAGATGCGACCGCGTGATGAGTAAAGAGTTGATTGTACATCTGGTCGAGCATTATATCTAGTAGATTAAACTGAAAAATTAATTTCCTCACTTATAAGTAAGGAATAGAGATCCTCTAGGCTCAGTGGATGAAGTTTGGTGCGGATTGAGGTATTGAAGGCTCGGTATTATGGGGTTAAGCCGTTTAGGGTATATAGGATAATATCTTCAACGTCAACTGAGAAACCAGAAGCGGATATATGGTCGACTAGTGTTTTGATCTCAGTGAGATACTGAGACATGGTCATATTGGACATGGAAATGTTGTAGAGCTGATTTTTAAGCTGAATTACCTTGGATCCATTAGAAGCTTGCAGTCGGCGTTCTATAGTGAGCCAGATATCACGGCTGGACTCTAAATGCAGAATGTAGGGAAGGATTGAGGCTGTAATGGTGGAACAAAGAGCATCGGCTAGGTTTTGGTCTATAAGGAACCATTGGTTGTAAGATGGGTTGATTGCCGAAATGCCATCGTCACTAATGTGAAGATGAGGGGAGGAAGTAGATCTTTCAAGGTATGAAACAAAGCCGTTTTCTCTAAAGAGTTTTAAGATTTGGGAACGCCATGTAGAATAGTTGTCTGTGGAGAGAGGGAGGGGAACAAGTTTTGTGATATTAGAATTGATAAATTTGAGAGAGGAGGGTATTTGGTGGTCGGTGGAAGCGGGTTGAGTTTCGTAAGTGTTGAGGTGAGAAGTTGCTGATGGTTCCATCTTCAAATTGTGCTGTTAGGCTGAAAAAGGCTTTGATGCCATGAGAGCATAAAGCAGCTAGTAATAAACTACTGGGAATAAGAATGTATTTTTATAGTGAATACATTCCTGAAGATGAAGTCGAAAGGCAAGCTTTTACTCAAAGGAAATTTACCTGCTTCTTACATCACTGTTCATGTATATATAACATAAAGAAGATTGACTTTGCATGTATCAGTTATTATCACTTTACACTTGTAAGCTAAGGATTGATTGAGTAGTTTTAAACGAACAACAAATGTTTGTTTGTATTTGATTGCTGCTCCGCTATTTCAATTTTGCCATGTGGTGTTATTACCGCCTTTCACCGGCTATAAAATTCTTTTGCCTTTTTTTTTCTCTATCAGGTTGGGCCTTTTGGCTTGGGTCTCTCTCTCATTTTTCCATGAACATTTCCTGATCTAAATGGTGAATCTCCTCCTCAAACCAACTCTCCCCGACCATCTATGAATTGAAATCCCACAAATGTTCATTATATATCCTCCTCAAGCAAGATTGGTATTATTTTAATCGTTGATCCCTTAACTACTAACCGATCTCGACTTACCTTTGCTCGCTTTAGCATCCAAATTTCTACATCTATCATTTTACCCAATGACATAGACATACATATTAATATCCTGGATAAAGACTTATATTTTCCTATCTTCTGTGATCTATGAATGGAAGCCTTGTGCTTGCTCGACATGTGATATCTTTGCTCACGACTAGAGGTGCAAATGAGTCTAGTCGATCTCGAGCCAGGGGGTGTTCGAGTCGAGCTCGACTGCTAAGTATCGAGCTCGAGCTCGACTCGTCTCACGAAATGAGTCGAGTTGAGCGGCTCGTCAAGCTCCTTCCCGAACTGCGTCATTCTCGGACAGCTACGTCGTCTCGAGCTACGTCGACCACCATCGACTATTGTCCTGTCAACCTCCGTCGAAGCCGCAAGCTTCGAACACTTCGTTGACGGAGGTTCCTCCAAACACTTCGTCGTCCCGTCAAAGCTCCATCGAAGCCGTAAGCTACGTCGTATTGACCTACCTACATCATTTGCAGACAACTACGTCGTCCCGTCAAGCTCCGAACACTCCGCTCCCTCCCCGTGAATCCCGCTCCCGTCTACAAAATGATTCCCGAAATTCGAATCATGCTCCCGCCTACGTCGTCTTATCTTACGTGAGCTACTCGACGAGCTCTCGAGTCGTGCTGCAGAGTGTTCGAACTCGGGCTCTTTAAGCCGTCGAGCTCAAAATTGTGTTTGAGCTCAACTCGCGAGCTCGATAAGCTCAACTCGTCGAGCCTGTTAACGAGTCGAGCTCGTGCCAGCTTGACTCGTTTGCACCCCTACTCACGATAATGCATCCTATCCTATATTCTTCAACGCCACAAATCCTGACCCCCTCTATGGGAACGAATTGACGTAGAGAGAGATGTCATAGTCGTCGATCTACGAACAATTTACAGAATGCCTCCATTAACTTTAACTCAACATTCAACAACCCTTCTCCCATTCTTTTAAATCAATCTATTAATAGAGACCTTAACATCGCTGCTTTTGACTTGACCTTTTGCTAGCTCTTCCAACCATACAAGTGAATACCTTCCCACTGAGGCTCAAAGTGTTGTTGATGTCTTGGTTGATATGACTAACTATACATTTGAAGCTAAGAACATTAATATTGTCTCTACTACCACCTCTCCTGACCAACATGCTCAACCCCAAACACAGACTGTAATTCATGTTAGCCCCCATCAACATAACAATCAATCATTTATACATAGCCTCGGTCTCCAAAATCTTATTGCTTCTTCAAATGCTGACAACGTTTTTTCTTGGATTGTTAGGGGGCTTAGATGGTTTGGTCACATAAAATGGCAGCCTTCCGATGACCCGATTAGGAAAGTAGATATATTAGATTTGACTTATGTTAATAAAGGTAGAGGCAGACCTAAGAAAACTTGGTTAGAAAATATTAGAAATGACCTTTCTTCATTAGAGTTAAATGATAATTTAACTTTTAACATGGCACAATGGAGAAAACATATTCATGTAGCCGACCCCACAGTGGGATAAAGGCTTGATGTTATTGTTGTTGTTGTTGTTGTTATGGGGCTTAATGGTGGTAACCATATTATGAATTGTAGAAACATGATTAAAGACTTTAATATTGTTGTCTTCTGCTTAGTTGAGACTAAACTTAATAATGATTGCATCTCTGGTGTTTTTAATTCTAAGAAGTTTAATTTCTTTCCTCTTGAGGGAAGTTGTAATAATTTTCAAGCCTCACCTATTAATTGTTTATAGGTTCACCCTCTATTTATTCATGGACAATTAATCATTTTTCCACTGCCTATATCACGATTACTTTTGTTTATGCGATAATGGTGCACTTGAAAGTAAGGCTCTTTGTCAGGCTTTTGTTGACATCTCTCTTAATGTTATGGAGCCTTGTATCATCATGGGTGACTTTAATTGTATTAGAAGGACTGAGGAAAAATTGGGGGCAACTTTGTTCACCCTTCAAAATTGTTTGACTTCAACAATTATATTTACAATGCTGGTTTGTTTGATCTTCCTAATTGTTGTCTTACCTATAGTTAGTATAATCAGTAGCTTCACAAGCCCATTAGATGCCTTCTTAGCCGTGCCTTATGTAATGTTCAATGGTTAGATTCGTTCCAGCTTTTGCACAACAAAATTCTTAGCCCAAACACTTCTGACCATTCCCTTATTCTTCTCCAAGTCAACTCTCACACCTCTATTTCAAGAAGATTCTTGCATAAAAAATATTGATCATTTTCTCACAAATTTTTTGAGATCTACAAGGTGCTTGGGATATCCCTGTTAATGGGGATCCTATGTTTGCCTTATCCAATAAACTTTTCAATGTAAAAATGGCTCTTAAAGGTGCTAATTGAAATTCTTCCACTTATATTCATAATATAATTTGTATGCCCAAAGAGAATCAGGAGTATCTTTTTCAATCTGGAAACCAACAAACTTGACAGAAACCTCCTTAATGGGCTCTTCTTATCCAATAGGATCTTATTGAGGAATTAAGATATGAAATCTCTTGGAGGAGGATGATCTCATGTTTCTTTACCCAAAAATTCAAAATATGAGAAACATAAATCATATCAGGAAAATTCATACTAATTAATGTCCCATCCACTCTCAATTGGGAATCTCCAATGAAGTCATCAGCTATTTCTCATATCTTTTTAGTGGTGACAAGAACTTTAATCTTATTAATAATTATATACTGCTTAGCCTCTCTCTCTATGCAAGACCAGCACTAACTTATGGTGAGTTTCTCTGATACTGATATTATAGGGGCTGTTTTCAAAATTGGTAATGACAAAACTCCTTGGCTTGATGGTTTCTCTTGTATATTTTTAAAAGATGTATGGAGTATTGTGCGATCTTTCTTTATTGTTGCTATCAAATACTTTTTTAACTGTTGCTCACTTGTCGGATAGGGTCCGACATTCCGCCACAATTTTATTTGCTAAATCACCTTATTCTAGAAGTATGGTTGATTTCATACATATTTGCTCTCTGCAATGTCACTTACAAAGTTATTGCCAAATTACTTGCTGATAAACAGAAGACCTTCTTCCTAAACTTATCTATCAAGCTAAGGCTGCATTTATATCTAGGAGGGATATATCTGATAATACTATCTTAGCCAATGAGATTTTCAAAGGGTTCAATCAAAATTCTACTGCCAAGGCTTTTTGTGTGAATATTGATCTTACAAAAACCTTTGATCATGTTTGCAGGTCATTCTTATATAATAGACTCATTTCTCTTGGCTTCCCCAA